TCCTCACCAGATAGCTCACTTCCTTCTCCCTTGGATGTCAATTATTTCTGCAAGAAATTTCCAAGAGAAATTAGGCAGCTGGTGTTTTAGGGCATGGTATTCTTCCCAAAAGAATGACACCATCCTGTGCTGCTTCTAAAACTGTTTTCTGTGGTTTGCTCCTGTTGTGCCTCCTCTTCCTCCCAGTATTACCCTGTTGGCCACCCAGATTTTGACCCTGTTCAGGTGAAGAGAAACGTGAATTGTAAGATGCCTCCATTTCGATAGTAGCTGGTGTCTTCAGTGACGCGAGTTGTCTCCCAATTGTAGTAGATGGGAAGAACAATTTTTATATCATGCTTGTGCTGCTGAACTTTACTGCTGTAATGGCTGTAAATAATCCCCATGGGGTTTTGTATCAGTTTTCACTGACTGATGTGTCACACACTCTTATACCATTGTAAGCTGCCAAAATACGTCTGTGCCAATGTGTAGCAAGTTTCTGGGACCAGCATACTGGTATGTTTTGCTCATTAGTGAAAAGACCTGGTTAATTTTTATTTAACTTTGCTAGACTAACTGCAGTTGAAATAAAGTTCAGTCTTACTTATGTATATGATTAGTGGTCACTTATGAATTACACTGGACAAGTATTTGCAGAAGTATTTCCAAAAGTCCTGGTATGGTATATTCCAAATGGGCTTGAACGCTTTTGAAGGGAGACGTCAAAGTTTCTAACTCACTTGGGTGCTTTTCAAAATTTTACACGTTTTATCTGCAAAGTAGAAAACTAAAGTTTGTCTCTTACAGACAGCAGCTGTCAGCAGAAAATACTGTGTGTTTTCTTTCTCCTGCAGTTACTCCCAGACCTGCACCATGTAAATTTATCCATTTTTTTCTTCGGAGCAAAACTAGATGTGCTTGCCACTTGGTTCAAGCAGGGACTTCATGTCCCTTATAAACTGGTTTATAAGCCTAAGACCATCACAGACTTCAGGTAACCCACTGAAGAGCATCTCCCGCGAGGCACTGAACACATACTAACTCCCAAGCCTTCCCTATCAGAGCTATAGGGCCCTATCCCTAAGCAGGATTTCCAAAGAACAGCGGGCAGTGCCCCATGCTTTCATCTTCTCAAAGCCAGAGGTTCGTAGCTGTTGTGCTTTTACTTGTCTTCCTTTAGCTCATGTCTTCCCATCCATGCAGACTCCTCAACTTACTGAAGCCTCATTGCAGAAGCTTGTAGTAGAGAGGTCAATACTGCACAAGGAACTGAATCACATCTTGCAATTAAAGGAAGAAGCCTTCATGCAAAGGAGGCCTTCATCAAGACAGTGTAAGGCATTGCCATTAAAATCCCAGGGAACAAACTTGGTAAATAAGCAAGGTAAATACTTTTCAGTAAGAATAATTACATAAAAAAGATAAATTTAGAACTCCTTTACTATCTGTGCTGGTAGTATGAAACATATCTCTGCCCAACTGATGTTTTGTGGGGGATTTTTTTCAGATTTCGTTGTTGCAATATGCACTGATATCCTGGCACAGCTCAGAAATCAAGTTACGTGCACAGTATCTTAATTATTAAGAACAAAAATAAGTGTCAATTCTGAACACCTGCCCCTTTGTCATTGAGACTGCTGTCAGAAACAGAGACTGAGCTGGCTCCCCTGTTTGGGGCACAGAAATTGCCTTTGTGCCTGTCGTCCGGCCTGCTGAACTCTCTCAACTCTCTGCATTTCTGCCACTGTTGCATTTCAAATGGTATAACAGAGATGATAGCGCTCACCAGAGCCACCTGTATGTGGATGGGATCTCTCACCACAGAAGAAGAAAGTCCTCTTGGGGGCCTTCTAGAGAGGTAAAGACTACAGGTAAGCTGGATCGTTTTTGTTGGGCAACATGCCATACTGGTTGTTTGGACAGATCTGAGCGCACAGGTCCCTTTTGTAGTGCATGTACTGTACAAA